AACTTTGAGGACTTATCATCCTATTGAAGAGGATTGATAAGTTAATTTGTCAGAGGTGTGGTGTTAACATGACAAGAATTTGTTACGATTGGAACAACTTTGAGGACTTATTATCCTATTAAAGAGGATTGATAAGTAGATTGTCAGAGGTGTAATATTAATGTGATAGGAGTTTTGTACTTGTGATTTGAAGAAGATTTTGAAGACTTAACGTCTTGCTGGGGAAGATTGTGATTTGAGCAAATTTGAGGACCTATCATTCTATTGAAGAGGATTGGTAAGTTAATTGTCAGAGATGTATTGTTAACGTAACAAATTAGGAGTGATGCAAACTGAATTCATACTCCGTGGGGGTGATGATCGTCAGAAGTATAATATTAACTCGACGATGTGAAAGATTCATTACTCTTAATCCAATGGATTCCAAGTAACCAACCCCCAATCTTGATTAAGACTTAGCAGGGGAAGAAAAAGAGGGATAGACATGACATATTGCCTTGTGGGCCACTATCCATCAAGTCGGAATAGAGGCCCATCACCTAGTAGGCCACTATCTGACGAGTTTGACTATCAGAGGTAACTGTTAACGTGATAGTTTTGATAGACTCGCCATCCTACTGAAGAGGATTGGTGGGGAAATTTAGAGAAAATAGACCATCGGAGGTAATGGTTAACGTGATAGTTTTGGTGGACCCGTCATCCTACTTAAAGAGGATTGATGGGGGAATTTAGAGGAAATGAACTATCAGAGGTAACTGTTAACGTGATAGTTTTGGTAGACCTGACATCCTACTTGAAGAGGATTGACTAATCAGAGGTAACTATTAACCTGATAGTTTTGACGAATTTTGTGGTTGACAGAGGTATTCTATTGAACATGATAACTCAGAAAATTTATTACTCATAATCGAATAAACTATAAATAAACCAACCCCCAGTCTTGAACAAGTGCCCAGGGGAAAAAGATAGACATGGCACATCGCCTAGTAGGACATTATTTAACGAGTTTGACTGCCATCCTACTAAAGAGGATTAACTTTAGTGGCCATAGTATCTTCCCCTTATGACTGATAAGATTGGGCTTAGTCCGATTGCTCAGGTTGATCCTGCCTATTTTGTTCTTCAGCTTTGATCCTGGCAATAATCTTTTGAGCCTGTTCGCCTTGAGAGATTAGTTGTCTCCAGGAACGGTATTCTGTAACTCTCATTTGTGCTAGAAGATCGGTCTGCAAGTTGTGTCGACAGGTCTCCACTAAGGTAGACTGTGTTATACCTGTCGGAGTGTCGACAGGTCTCCACTAAGGTAGACTGTGTTATACCTGTCGGACATCGCAGAGCCATGTTTCGAAATCTTTTGACGAAGGCTTTGACGGACTCCCTATTTTTCTGCTTAGTGGTGAGAAGGGTATGGATGGAGACTTCTGTATCCTCTTTAAAGAATCTTGACAGGAAGAGTCTCTCTAGATCTGCCCACTTTTGGATACATCCCGCAGATAGTTTCCTAAACCATTCAAAGGCAACTCCCTTGAGGGTTCCAATGAACAATCGAGCCAGTACGACATCGTTTGATATCATATTCCCAGTTTATGACTTGAAATAATAGATATATTGGTTTGGTGATCCCGTGCCGTTAAAAGTTTGTAGTGTTAGGACCTCAAACTTTAGAGGATAAGGGGATGCATCCCATTCGGCAGGATAGGGCCTGATAACTCCCTCGTCTTGGAGCTCACTTCTATTAGCAATGGCATTGAGGCGGGTTTCCAATTCTTTCATTTTAGCCGACCAAGGATTTTGCTCATTCTTAGCTTCTCTTCCTTCATCAGACGAAGATTCCAGGTTGTGGGCTTCTTAGTCAGAAGCAGCGTCATCAACCACTTTTTCCTTCCCTTTGCTTGTGTGAAGTCGGGATGAAGACACTTTTTCTTTCCGGGAAGATTCTTGCCTAGGTGACGAATCTATCTTCTGAGATTTGGTATTGTCTGGGACGATTTGAGTCAACAAGGCTAGGAGTTCATTGAGGGTATTCTGTTGTGATTTGAGCATGGCATCCTACTCAGCAACCCTCTTTGAGAGATCTTCAGAATGGTCTGCCATGTGGGCGAAGCTCTCATACCCAACGAAAGAGCTTGATGATTGAAACTTCGTAATGGTTGAGTGTTCATCATTGGAATTAGTTCCTCTGGCTAACCTCCGATAGTTGACAGGAAGAATGGCTCTTATCCGAGTCCGAGTGTATCGGTAGATTCCTTCCAACTCGTTAGCGATTTCTCTGACGGTCGTTGAACGACTTATCTTAGAATCATCGGTACTAGGACCTGAGGCTTTCCCTCTGCCGATCACATTGATAGTGACTCTAGGATACTCAGTCTCTGGAGACTTATTCTTATGCGAACGTTGTCATTGGTTGGGCAAGACAACGTGCGTTAATTGGTCGAACACCAATTGTTTAGCTGCATATAAACAACATTGACATTTCGAGAGGACCGTAGGAATCAGTCGTTCACATTGGAATGAACAAATGACTTGTTGCATCAGTCTTTCTCCTGATATGAACACTCTTAAATCTGTTGCAAAGACTCAAGAAGAATTACTCACTGACCATGAGGTTTGCACTGGAATCCCCTGTCTATGATTGGACGGGACTGGCTCCTGGTGAGCATGAATATGGTTGAGATGCTTTGAATCCAAAGACTTCTTATACCCGAACGCATGCCTGAGAGTTGCGTTCAGTTAATGGAACACACTCCTGAAGGCTGCATTTTGATTGTACAATGCGCCACTGAGGGCTGCGTTTACTTATTCACACAGAGCCTATGTTTGGGCTCATAGACGCGAGGCTTACATTCTGAAGCAGAAACACAGAGCACAGGGTCGTGTTTAGGCTCACAAACATGAATCTCATGTTGACTTGAGGATCGGCATTCACGAAGATGTGCTCGTCGTAGGGATCTTCTCCTTCATTGAGCGGCATTCTTTTTAGCCTGCTTCAAGGCCTTTGTAGCGACATCACCATCTGTGTTGATTAAGTTTGTCGCCTTAATGGGCCTCTTACAACCCGATACTCGTTGTCTTGATGCGGGTTTGGCTGAAGCTGAGCCCAATCCATCGGGAGAGGGGCTGTTCGAGCAAACTGGCCCAAAGGAGAGGTCTTCCTTGGGCGATTCGGCTGCAATTAGGGAAGTTAGAGCTTTAGTCTCTTTGGAGACTTTGTGGATCTTGTGCATAACCTTGGGGCTAAAGGATCTAAAGGAAAGAACTTCCTCATACTTGGCTTGATCAAACTCAACAATAAGAGTTTCGATGGTTGTTCCAACGAGATGAACGTCGGATTGTACCACCACTTCTTCTTCATAGAAGCTCTTCCCCAGCGGAGTCGCCATCTTTTGTTTGATGGAAAATTTTTAGTAAAAAGAATGAAAGAAATTTGATTTGTATTCTCTCGATCTTAATTACAGTTTAAATTCCTGATTACAAAAGAGAGGAGAATGATCTGGATTCTTCCCTTTGTTTAATTTTGGGTTCTTCACGGTAGAGATGAGATGCCTCACTCGAATGCTCGCGTCGAGTTTGCTTCTCGTTGACTATCTGAACGTCTTGTTTCACTGGAACGATATATTCACCTCATGATTTGATGCTGTGGAGGACTTACGTGGCAAGTTTGAAACTCTGGACGAATTAATAACTCAGAACAAGTTTAAACTCTTGTAAAAGAGTTGATTGATCTTAACCGTAATTGGTTAGACAAGCCAAGCATGGAGATAGCCCTAAGAATCTGTTGCCGAAAAGATGATCCGAAGAAGCCGATCTCTAAATCTCTAAAATTCTCAAAGATCCAAAGATATCCCTCCCTCTAAAAGATCAAAGGATTTCTTCTTTGCTACCGAGAGAAGGATAAGAACCCTCAACTAAACTGATTTTTCAGTTATTTATAGGGGATTAAGGGGCATAACCGTCCCCTTAATTCATTCCTAAGTGGGGCTGAATGGGGTGTAACCGCCTCTTTAATCCGCTCCTAAGTGAGGGCGTAAATCCCTCAGATCATGGGGAGAAAACGACTTATGGAACCGTTCAACTCGTGTTTGAGCGAGTCAAACGCAGGTTCTGCATTCTGGAATGAAATCTGCGTTTAAACGCAGTGTTTGCAAGCTACGTTAGGCAATAAATGGAACCTGCATTGGCAGCTGTTAGAAGCTACGTTGGCAGCAGTTAGATGCTGTGTTTGGTAGCGGTTGTAAGTTGTGTTTTGTAGCATTTAGGAGCTGTGTTTGGTAGCGAATGGAAACTGTGTTTGTAGCATTTAGGAGCTACGCTTGGCAGCAAATGGAAGCTGCGTTTGCAGCATTTAGGAGCTGCGTTTGCATAGCTTTGATTCTGTAATGAGGCCACTTGTGCTTGACCTCTGGGATGCAGGGATGAGTCCTGCGTCTTGGGTTGAAGAGATCGTTGACTTGTAATCTCTTCTGTCAGAGCGTCGCGACGATTGTCGTTTTATAATCTTCGCTTTAGCTCTTTGAAATGTAAGAGTCATCAGATTGTAACTCTCATTATTGGTTCTGAAGACCATTGATCAGAGCTTTCATCGGTTATCATGAAGGTCGTTGATTTGTAACATTCATCGATCTACGTGAAAGTCTTCAAATTGTAGCCTTCTGAAAGTCGTTGAATTATAACCTCCATTGTTAATATTTGATGGGGATAAGCTATTTGTTGTGATTTTTAGACAGCCTACAGAGGATAAGATGGATTCATTGATCCAAAATCATACTTAGGAGCTGGTGAATGTACCTGAAGGTGCAATGCCTATCTGTTACAAATGGATCTTTAAGAAGAAGGTTCATCCTTATGGTACTATTTGAAAGTACAAAGCAAGACTGGTAGCAAAAGGATTCTCTCAGAAAGAAGGTATAGACTTCTTTGATATCTATGCACCAGTTTGCAGGATCACTACCATCAGAGTGCTTATCACATGGACGGTGATAAAAATATTTGGCATACATCAGATGGATGTGAAGACTGACTTTCTCAATGGAGATCTTACAAAAAAAATCTACATGGAGAAAGCAGAAGGTCTTGATGCTCCAGTTGGTAAAGTTTGTAAACTTATTAAGTCTCTATATGGACTTAAGCAAGCATCGAAACTCTGGCATGAGAAGTTCGATGAGATTGTTCGCAACAATGGTTATCAAGTTAGTGAATCTGATAAGTGCCTACACATCAAGGTCGCTAAAGGAAAGGTGGTGGTTATCTACCTCTATGTGGATGATATGCTCATCATCGGGAGTGATTTAAAGATAGTAATATCTACCAAGAAATTTCTCTCAGCTCAGTTCAGCATGAAGGACCTTGGAACTACTGACGTGATTCTCGGAATCAAATTTGTATCTCTGAAGTCTCAATCTCATTATGTCAAGAGAATGCTAAGGAAGTATGGCTACAACGACCTGCCAGAACTGTCAGTGCCATATAATTACAACAAGAAGCTTTGACCGAACACTGGAAGACCAGTAGAGCAGCTAAGGTACTCAAATATAATTGGTAGTCTTATGTACGCAATGAGCTGCACAAGGCCAAACATAGAATTAGTTGTAGGAATGCTTAGTAGGTTCGCAAGTAATCATAGGAAGCTTCATTGGGATGTTGTCCAAAGATTGATGAGATCCTTGAAAGGAACTATAGGTCTGGGCTTATTCTACATTGGATATCCGGCTATAATTAAAGGCTATTCAAATGCGAGTTGGTGCTCAGAATCAGATGAGTGCAGATCTACTAGAGGATTTATCTTCACTATGGATGGAGCTGTCGTCTCGTGGAAGTCTAAGAAACAGACCATGATTGCATAGTCATTGATGGAATCTGAGTTCTTCGTACTTTGTGCTGTAGGAGATGAAGCTAAATGGCTCAGTTGTTTTCTCCGAGACCTTCCATTGATAGAATTGCAAGGCGTAATTACTATCTATTGTGATAATCAGGCGGCGAGTGATGTGTTAATGAACTCGATATTCAATGAAAAGAAGCGGGCCATTCATCTGAAGCGTGGATATTTGAGAGAGCTCATTTGTTAAAGAGTCGTCTCTGTGATTGATGTTCGATTTTCAGAGAATGTGGCTGATCCTTTGACTAAGGGTCTGAAAAAGGGTATAGTCGAAAGGATGTCTGCTAGAATGGGTCTCAAAATTTTGTAAGTCTTATAAATACTTACCATGTTTATTAAGTTATTAGGTCAAAACTTATATTACTAATGATAAGATAATTGGTTCAAAAGTCAAGTAAGATTTGCAAAGTTTGGTGTATCTTACAAATACTTACCATTTACATCTAGTTATTAGTTCAAAGCTTACGCTACTAATGACAAGATGATTGGTTCAAAAGTCAAATAAGATTTACAGGTAAATCCTATCATTATAAAGAGGATGGATGTTAAGCCTTAATGAGTCCAAAGCATTTCGGATGTGGGCTGTTGGATAGGTAACATGACTAAAGAATTCACCGATGATCCTATCATGTAAAAGGGTTAGTTGTTAAACCTTAATGAGTCCAAAACATTCAGATGCGGGGTGTTAGATAGGAAACACACCTAAAGAACTCACCTAGAATCCTATCATGAGAGAGGATGACTCTTAACCCTTAATGAGTTCAAAGCATTTCGGATGCGGGATGTTTGATAGGAAACATGCCTAAAAAAATCACCTATGCATGGGTGGAGATTTGGCCGTCTCCTATGGTGTCTTGTGAAAAGATACCTAGAGCCCTAATAGAAACCAGGACATGTACAGGGCCGTAAATGTGCAAGGTAAAGGCAAAGGTAAAGGCAAATATGGTTCAAAGTAAAAATTACCACAGATAAGTTTGATCTTGTGTGATCACTAGATTTTTAAACATATGCTGGTTCAAGTCTTTATAACACCATGCACCTATCTTTTATTCAGTTGGTTAAAGGGGGATTCAAGTCCTTACGATATCTACCTTATGCACAACGATTAAAACAACGGTACCGTTGCACGACACTAGTTTAAAAAACTTGTGAGGGATTGTTGAATATTTTTTTAAACTAAGTCCAAAAGTTCAAGCAGTCGTTTCTTTTGAAAAAGAAAAAAGGCGGGCCCCACCTCAAAGAAAAAGGCGGCCCCCATCTCAAAGAAAAAGGCATCGAAAGTTGCACAGTAAAAACGTGGGAGAAAATCTTAGGTCCTGCCTAATTTCATTGAAAATTAATACATGGACCCCACAATGCATACTAAACTACTATTGTTTTATTAGTGTATAGTATTTTTTAAACACTATAAATAGGCCTCAAACTCTTAAGGAAAACTTATTGCAAAAACAACAACCAATACAAAATATATATACAGATATATATGTTGTAAAATAACCGGTGCTCGTAGGAACATTGCCTGGACCAGAAAGGTCCTATAGATCGAGGAGATCGTTGCCTTGACCGAAAGATCCTATAGATCGGTGCACACTAGAGTACTGTACTACTGTTCCTGGAAGCAATTTGGCCTTGGGATATCCTTGCACCGGAGTAGGCCAAATATTGTTTTAAGCATAGCGTTTTACAAATGCACAGCAGCTGAGTTGGAGAGTTTTAAATTATAACACTTCAGTTATTTATCAGTATTCTCTGTTTTATATTTGTATCATTCCAGATTTAATCGCAGGCACCAACAGATCTTATCTCAGCCCCAAATGCGAAAAAACTAGAAGAATCCTTCATGCACTGGATGAAGGAAGAAAAACTGAAATTAAAAAGAATTAACATTACATTCCATGAACTCAAGCTTTTGCTCACTTGCGGAGGGAGGGGGAAAAACTTCTTTGATGATAGGCAGAGTTCCTTGAATACAGTTACAAGAAATGAGCGTGAACAGGCTGTCAAAACTGAAGCCATGCTCAACAAAGATCGAAACAAAGCAAAAGAGCTTCTATTTGTATAACATAATATATCTCCTAGCTAGTTCTTAAGCTTGTCAAGTTTCTTGGTATCAGACACGGTCATGGGGTTATTCAGGCTCTCAATCCTCCGGGACTGCTGGGAAATTATGCTCGCTGTTGAGGGGCAATCTTGGAAAACAACTTCATACCCATCTCTGAAGTTATCCATTCCTTGGCCTAAATACTGCCAGAAAAGAGCACCGGTGCAAGCACCGCCGGATCTCGCCAGCCCGTAGATTGTGTTATATGCAGCCCAATAGTAGGCATCTCTTTGTGCAGAGCTAAACTGTTTCGAAGATCGTCCAAATTCTGTGATGAGGAGTGGTTTTCCTATGGATCCCGCATCTTGAGAATGTGATGTAATCCAACTCTGAAGGAATGTTGTTTGTGCATTATCATCTGCGCCATTGATCCTGAATGAACGTAATATGTTACATTTGAAGGGTGTATTTACACAAATTATTGCTTTATGAGGGTTATATGTGGAAATTGGTGCATTCACTGTATGGATATAGCTGATGCAATGTTTGCTAGCACTTTTTGTGCACTACTAACTGTAAAGTGCGAAAAGTTGAAGAGTTGTAAGATAAATCCAACAAAATTCTAATCTGGACTAAGAGAGAAAACCTACATATCTACCGCCCATTGGCATCATTTCTTCTCGTGGGTCCTACGATTGTAGAATTTTCATACAACCAAGGATTTAGAGGATTGGCAGTCAATTTTAAACTCCTTTTATATGCAGAGCATGCTGTTAGAACTAATAGAGCTCACCATTGATCCGGGTAGATATGAATGGTAGTGAAATCAATTTGAGGGATCTGATTGTTAGCTATGAAATCAGACCCAACTCCAAAACCAGGATTGTAGTGTTTCCTATCAGGCCTCGAGTCGCCATAGAACCCTTCTAGTCCCGCTTCGAGCAAATGGTTGCTATCGACAGATTTCACATAACAAGACATTTCATATATCCAATTCTGTAAGCATCAAAATTTTCACGTTATATATAGCACAAGTTTAAGTATTATGTATGAATAAAATGTTATTGTTCGTATTTTAAACCTGCAAAGTTGCTCCGGAGTTATCACTCTGGCAACGGGGCTCGTTCATGAGCTCCCATGCAAAGATGGTAGGATCATCCTTGTACATTACTCCCGTTATCGAGTTAACCCTAGTGAGAATAGCCTGTTCATGGAAATAATAAGTTAAAAGCTACAAAATAGGACATTATGAGTTAACGAAGATTATATATATGTGCGCGCGCACACACACACTCGCACACACACACCTTGATATGGTTCTTGTAGAATTGCTTTGTGAGATCATTCCTGAAGAAATCGTCATCAGAGTTCAACCACTGCCCTTGATCCTGTGCCCACTGCACATACTGCTTCTTCCCTCCATACCCCTCCCAGTTATTCACCAAACTCAGTATCAAATAAACCTCATTCCTCTTAGCCTCAGAAATCACAAAGTCCAATGCCTATCAACCCAAAAGAAAATCAGTAGCTAAACCTGTAAATTTATAATCAATATGATCTCTGTATATTGTTATATACCTTGAACATATTCTCATCATAATTGCCAGGAGAAGTCTGAAGAGCTCTATAACCTCCATCATTAAAAGCCCAAGTTCTGACAACATTAAGTCCATAGCTTGCTGCTTGCTGCAATGCGTTGGAAACTCGATCTCTTGTTGACGGGTCCCCCGCCGTGTACATCATCCAATAAGCATTGAACCCGTTAGTGTAGAAAGGCCGTCCGTTCATCACGAAGTGGGTCCCACTGGTCGAGGCAAAGCCCCCATTATTGACAGGTTCGGCATTGCCAGTGCAAGGTTTGAGAACGAGAAGTGATAAGAAAAACAGACTGCAAATGGCTTGTTTGCTCATTGTGATTGAATTGTTGCTGATTAAGGAACGGGAAGGGTTTGGCGTGGATTTGAGTTGAGAATGTTGTGGGGTTTATATAGAGTTTGGGGTTGCGCAAGAGAACAAAAGCAGGGTTTCCCATTTTCACTGCTGAAGATTTGGTGAGGATGAAGTTAGAAGTGATTGAGATGCACATGATCACCGAAAAAGGTAGTTAGTTGAAAACTTTCTGTTACTTTATTTATTTATTTATTTATTAATAATGGATACAGTTGCTGTTTTAAAGAAACGACCGCAAGTTGATACTTGGGTTGAATTGAGCTAAAATTGCGAGTTCATGTAAGAGGTCAACTTATAACAACTTGAATTCTCTGCTGAATTTAGTAAAAAGAAAAGTTACTCGTAACATTCCATTCTACGGGAGTACCTACAGATAGAGAATATGATCAGACTGTACCTCTGGAGCCTGATGATGTGCATTTTGTGATACTCTATAAATTCTTCTACATGTATAAGAGAGCCAATTTGTGGCATCCTATAAATTCTTCTATAACCCCTTAACAGAATAAAGTTCACATTATCTTATTAGGAGTGCTGATTGTTGGTGTTGACGAATCACGAAACTTCTCAACACAATTTCAGGGTCTTGTTCTTAATGACAAAAAGATAAAAGACAACCACACAAATAATGGACACAAAGATTTACGTGGAAAACCCAAATGGGAAAAACCATGGGTTGAGCTTGGAGCTTGGAGGATATTTTACTATAATGGAATTAACAAATGGGTACAAAGCACACACGACACACCCGACAACGCCGACTTCCACACAGCCCTCACACACCCTCTTTCTTTCTTAACTCAATACTAGAGATCTCTATAACACAAGAGACTTTCCTTCACTCTAACTCTCTATACTTTCAAGAGAACAAGTGAAAAACTTGGATGATTTTTTGATGATCTCTCCACAATGAGAGGATGCCTATTTATAGGCATTGATGAACATTTTCATCTTCCAAAATATTTGAGAATACACAAATCTGTCCAGATTCGAGTAGGGTACATTGACTGACCATAACTCCCTCAATACTGCTTCGTTTCCTATGATTCAAAGCTTGGATTAAACTATACATGCACCACTACAACTTTCATGTAGATTTTCGAGCCAAATAATGACTGCATCATTCCTGAAAAGATCATGCAAAATTGTATCTGCATGCAGAAAAAAACTACAGCAATAAATGAGTTGGAAATTGATCCAACTCCAACAATCTCCACCTTGGCGAGATATCCAACGCCACTCGAAATTGTCAGCTACATCTTCGGAGTATTAGTCTTCTAAATCACGAACACTTGTCACCGGAATATGGATCTTCAGAATCTAAGAAGTTAGACTCTTGAACTTCAGAGCAAGTTCTGCTCTGGCTTCAACTACTTCACCTTGATGAGCATCAACTCATCTCCCCGCACCTCTGGTGACTAGGTGCACTCATGAGCTAACATGTCATCAGATTTAGCAGACTTAAGCAATGCTTGAACTTCTTCATCGTAACCGGTTTAGTGAGAAAATCTACTGCATTCTCGTCAGTATGAACTTTCTTCACATCAACTTCTCCATTCATGAGCCAATCACGAATCCGATAATAACGTACTTCAATATGTTTTGTCCTTGCATGAAATACCTGATTCTTTGCAAGACAAATAGCACTCTGGCTGTCACATTGAATTTTTACAGAGTTTTGATTTAGACCCAAATCACTTGCTAAGCCCTTGAGCCATGTGGCTTTCTTTGCAGCTTCTGGTAATGCCATGTACTCGGCTTCTGTGGTAGACAATGCACTGATGGATTATAGCATGGATCTCCAAGATATGAGTCCTCCATCTCAAGTGAAAATGTATCCTGTTGTGGATCTTCTCTTAGCTAAATCTCCTGCATAATCGGAAACTACAAAACCAGTGATGCACGCCTCTTCATGTTGTCTTTCAAACATAATCTCCTTATTTCTGGTACTCTTCAGGTATCTGAGAATGCATTTGATAGCTTGCCAATGATCTTTACCTAGATTTGACATGTATTTTGACACCAAGCTCAAAGCTTGAGCAAGATCTAGCCTTGTGCATACCATTGCGTACATTAAGCATCCGACTGCGCTTGCATACATAATCTTCTTTATTTCTTCAGCTTCAACTTCTATAGATGGCATCTGCTTTATACTTAAGTTAAAGTGAGTAGCCAATGGAGTGGACATAGGTTTGGAATTGATCATGTTGAATCTTTCAAGGACCTTTTCAATGTACTTGCTTTGAGATAAATATAGTCTCCCATTATCCCGGTCTCTTTTAATCTCCATTCTGAGAATCTTCTTGGCGGCACCAAGATATTTCATGTCAAATTCCAAACTCAGCATTACTTTGAGTTCATTTATTTTTGACATATCTCGGCATGTAATCAACATGTCATCCACATATAGCATTAAAATAATCATGTGGCCATCATCAAATGTGTGTGAGTAAACACAACAATCATACTCACCTCTCTTGTAACCAATTCGGAGAATGAAGGAGTCGAAACGTTTGTACCATTGTCTTGGGAATTGCTTGAGTGCATACAAAGAGTTCTTCAATCTGCACACAAAGTTTTCCTTCTTCCACAAATCCTTCTGGCTGAGCCATATAGATGGTTTTCTCCAAATCTCCATGAAGAAAGTTGTCTTTACGTCGAGTTATTCTAGCTGCATGTCATGTTGTGCTACAAAAGATAGCAACACCCGAATGGATGTATGCTTGACCACTGGAGAGAAAATTTTATCATAATCTACTCCTTCCTTTTGTGAGAACCCCTTCGCAACTAACCTTGCTTTGTAGGTAGGAGCCTCTGCTTCACTTATGCTTTCTTTCTTCTGATAAACCCACTTGGATCCGATGATCTTTCGAACTTACGGTTTCAGAACTAACTCCCAAACGGAGTTCTTATAGAGAGATTCCATCTCCTCCGACATAGTACCTATCCATTCTTGCCGCTCATCATTTTCCATGACTTCTTTGAAAGTAGAAGGATCTTCTCCGCTAGCTAAGAGTGCATAGCAGGCTTTATCTTCCCATCCGAATAGTTGAGGAGGCTTGATGACTCTTCTCTATCTTGATTGTGCTATGCTTGTAGGTTCTGCATGAACCTCTTCGGCTTGTTGATGTTCGTCGTGTTGATCCACCTCAGCTTGACTTTCTGGAATATAACCTTCCGTTGACAAAGGAATTTCAGTATGACAACGATCCTTATCTTTGTCAATAGCTTCAGCTCTAAGTCTTTCATCAAACACGACATCTCTACTCAGCACTTTCTTCTTGTTTTTTGGATCCCACAACTTGTATTCTTTCACTCCCTTCTCAAAACCGAGAAAAATATACTCGAGTGACTTTGGCTTCAGCTTGTCCCGTTCATCACTCAGAATATAAACATACGCCTTGCATCTGAAAACCTTTAGAGTAGAATAGTCAACTTCTTTGTCCGATCATACTTCTTCGGCACATTTGAAATTCAGCAGCTTAGATGGTGACCGATTAACCAAGTAGGCAGCATGGCTTAAATGAGACCTTGCATTACTTTCCAAGTATTCAATACTTGCAGAAATCCAACTTGCAAGTCTCCATGTTCTTCAACAGCTTCCTCTTGTGCAGTTCCTCCATAGCCCACTCACTCATATGGCCAAGACTAAGATGCCATAGATGAGCCGAGTCTTCAGAGTCAATCTTGGAGTTCTCTTTGGAAGTTGTGGATACAACAACTTCACCTAAGACAGTATCTCCTAGAAGCTTGTACAAGTTGTTGGGAAGCTTCTCTCCTCGCATGATTACCATCGAGCCCTTACAAATCTTGATCTTGCCTCCGCCTAAGAAGTAGGTGAGGCCGCTTGCCTCTAGAGTGCCCAAAGAAATCAGGTTCTTCTTGAGTGCAGGAACATGTTGCACGTTGCCGAAAGTGCGAATAATGCCATCATACATCTTCACCTTCACTGTGCCTATGCCGATAACCTTGCACATGGCATTATTCCCCATAAGGACTTCACCTCCATCCTTCTTTTCATATGTATCAAACCAAAACCTATTTGCACACATATGAAAAGAGCAACCTGAATCAAGAATTAGAAATGGTTTCACCTGACGTAACCGAAAGAAGCTCAGCACTGTTCTACTGGCAACTCCAGCCAAAGAGGTGGTTTCAGAGTTCTTCTCTTTTTTCTGATAAGCTTTAAATTTCCTATAGTTCTTCTTGAAGTGGCCTTTCTTATGGCAGTAGTAGCACTCCTTATCCTTGTGGCTCTTAGATTTAGATCTCCCACGTTTGTTCAACTTGGCACCTTTCTACTTTGGTCGACCCCGATCGTTCAATCTCTTGACGAGTAGGCCTTTATTTTTCAAGTTAGCTCCCGTGCGCTTGTTCATTTTGACATGAGAGATGATGTCTTGAAAAACCTCTTCAAATCAAAGAGTCTCTTTGCCAAACATGAGTGTGGTCCGGAAATGTTTGAATGACAACGACAAGGATCGTAGCAATAGCAAAGCTTTATCCTATTCTTCAAACTTGACCTCCACTCGCAATAAATCCGTTATACAATGGTTAAACACATTAAGATACTCCATAATATCATCTTCATCTTCCATACGAAGATTAAACAATTCATCTTTTAAGAAAAGCTTGTTAGAGAGAGTCTTTCCCATGTAGAGATTATCTAACTTCTCCCATGTGCCCCTTGCGGTAGTCTCCTCCATCACATTGTAAGTGACTTCGTGGGATAAGTGTAGCTCAATCGAGCTCATCGCCTTGAGGCCTACCTTGTTCCAAGCCTCCATAGATATCGTCTCTGGCTTGTGCTCAACCCCCATAATGTACATGTGTAGATCTTGCTGAATCAAGATATTCTTCATCTTGCGCTACTACAACGTGAAATTACTTCGCCTATCAAATGGCTTCGTTCAACCTTCACACTGCCAATTATCGAGTTGTCTTCAACCATTAAGAACACCACAACCACGCTCTGATACCACTTGTTGGTGTTGACAAATCACGAAACTTCTCAACACCACTTCAGGGTCTTGTTCTTAGTGACAAAAAGATAAAAGACAATCACACAAATAATGGACACAAGGATTTACGTGGAAAACCCAAACGGGAAAAACCACAGGTTGAGCTTGGAGCTCAGAGGATACTTCACTATAATGGAATCAACAAATGGGTACAAGGCACAGACAACACACCCGACAACGCCAACTTCCACACAGCCCTCACACACCCTCCTCTTTTCTTAACTCAACACTAAAGATCTCTACAACACAAGAAACTTTCCTTCACTCTAACTCTCTATACTTTCAAGAGAACAAGTGGAAAAACTTGGATGATTTTTGGATGTTCCTTCACTCTAACTCTCTATACTTTCAAGAGAACAAGTGGAAAAACTTGGATGATTTTTGGATGATCTCTCCACAATGAGAGGATGCCTATTTATAGTGGATGATCTCTCCACAATGAGAGGATGCCTATTTATAGGCCTTGATGAACCTTTTCATCTTCCAAAATGTTTGGAAATATACAAATCTGTCCAGATTCGAGTAGGATACTTTGACTGACCATAACTCCCTCAATACTACTTCAATTCCTGTGATTCAAAGCTTGGAGTAAACTATACATGCACTTCTACAAATTTCATTTAGGTATTGAGCCAAATAATGACTACATCATGCCCGAAAAGACCATGCACAATTATATTTGGGCTAAATACCCATATTGGTATTTTAATTCAACCACATTTGCCAAGAAGGTATTTTAAATAAAAAAATCGGCGTGAAGGTATTTTAATTGATTAAAATTATCAATTAGGTCATTTTTCTCATCTGCGACCACTTTTCCGGCGAGAAATCGTCACGTGTGTGACACATGATGAGTTAATATGTGTTTTAGCTGATGACGTGGCTCGGTTTGCTGGTGTGGCTCGGTTTTAGCTGCTGATGTGGCTTAATCACAATTTAAGTCCAAAACGAACCAACCTGAACCCTAAAAATTTCAAAACAAAGATCAAACTTCCACGCATTCACTCCAGATCTCAGATCCAACTCAATTATCTTACCTTTACCGCTAACAGAAGCAGCCAAAACCCCCGATTCCAGGAACTTCTAGAAGAAAACGCCATGAGAATTCGGAGAGAAGAGAGTGAGAAGACGAAGATCACTGCAGACTAGATTGCCGCCGGCGCGGCCATGGATCGATGCAAGAGAAAGAGGTTCTATTTATACGGTAATTTCTCCACTAATTTTTCGCTAATTTTTTTACCAATTTTAGAAATGGGGGATTTTAAAATGCATCGACTCTTATTCTTCCTGCCACTGCCACGTCAGAAAACCGGTTGAATTAAAATGCACGTGACGAGTTCTCGTCGGAAAAGTGGTCGACGACGAGAAAAAGGACCTAATTGGTAATTTTAATCAATTAAAATGTCTTAACGCCGATTTTTTTATTTAAAATACCTTCTTGGCAAATGAGGTTGAATTAAAATACCAATATGGGTATTTAGCCATTATATTTGTATGTAGAAAAACTGCAGCAATAAATGAGTTGGAAATTAAGCCAACTCCAACACTGATCAAGAAAAGCACAGAGATGGACGTAAATCACATAATAATGACTATCACAAATACAAATGAAATTAACGAGGTTCTGAACAAGTCCTATGTTCTCCGGGATATTAAAGAGTGTACATAACAAGTACAGTCAAAACTACATATATTGTAAGAAGTTATGAGGTTTTGTAGAAGCCCTACATTCTCTGAGAGTAGTAGATGATTTTCTTGAGTAATGAGTTGTATCAGATGATCTAATTTCTAACTAAACAAAGAGAGACTCAAATTAAAATAATTACCGATCTCCAAACCCTCATCTCACACAGAATATACAGAAATTGACAATAATGACTTGAAACTCTAGAATTATTTTCCCGAAAATGCACATTCCACATATTTGAGCACACATTCAGATCAATTTTGAGTTTGCATCTCCAATACCGATCTAACATCGTGTACCACAGGTGCCAGGTGAGATCAGGTAAGACCTCTTCACTGTTCTTTTTTTTTAAAAATTACCTAAACTGCCATACATGACAACAGTTAGGGTAAATTATCTTATGCTTTGCACTTGACATGTTTTCACAATTTTGTCATTGTGTAACTTCATATATCTTCTATGTTAGTCTCTCCCTCTCTCCTATTTTCAAATATAGTTTAAATCGTTTATCCAAGTTTGACACCATCAGTAACAATTTAAGGTAGATAATGGACTGTAAACATGTGATATCTTGTCCTATTCACGTAAGGCCGTTATGAGAAGAAAATAAAGATAACATGATGCATATGCATGCATCATCATTATCTTCACCAAAGTATCAAATGAGCAACTGCCACGTGGTTATCATAAAAGTGTAATTTTTAATTTGCTAGCATCCAATATTTTGTTATCCTCCATTCATTTGTATCATGAATTTATTCTTCTCCGAGTTTGCTTTCTTTTTTTTCAGGACTTTCAGTTTAATTTGGGAGTTAGCTACTCGCAATTCATTCCTAATTAGTTTTGCCTTGAGTTACCACTTCCATTTCATTTGAAGAAGTAACTGTGTTGCAATTGCATCAATCTCA